TAGAAACTGCTCCAATACGAATTGTTTGCTAATTGGCTTTACTAAGTCGGAAGTCCAAAATCAAAGTTAATGCTTTCTTTCCAATACACATTGCCGTTAAAATTATCCTTCTCTAATTTTAATGTTTGCTTCCACAACTTTAAGTGTAAAAATGTAAATTTGAAGAGTGAAAATTTATCACGTGTAGTAATTTGGAGATTTTTTTTAATAAATAAGATAAATTATACAACTTATATTTAACAAAAATACAAAGGATTATAAAACGAAACAATTAACACATTAATTAATGGCAATAATTCAAGATAAATGGTAATTTAAATTGTCAAAATGTCATAATGCGCGTTAAAAAAACATATTATATTTGGTATTTCCCAATTTGTATCGTATTTGGCATTTGTCTCTTAACATGAAAAATTAAAAAAATTTTAAAACACAACAAATAAAAATTTTTAAGCAATTTTCTCTTCCAATTTTCATTTATTCAAAGAAAAGTTACTAATTAAACTTTCATTTCTCTTATCTACAAAAAAGAACGAGGGACGTAAAAAAAAAATGAATATTCTATACAATTTTTATTCATTCGAAGTTTAATTACGCAAAACTTTTCTTTCTCTTATGTTCTACTCTTTTATAAAAAGAGCGATCGATGAAATAAAAATTTTTCTTTCTTAACATAAATTTATACTTTGAGATAAAATTAAATTAGAAATAAAGCAACAATTAACAAAGCAACCTAACAGGTTGATGTTTTAAAAAAAGTTTCGCTTTTGGGTTTAAAAAATCTTGAAAGCGTACTAACAATTATAAACTTTTTAAAGATCAATTTATTTAAGAACTGGATTTTTTTTCGGGGGGATTCCCGTCGGGGGATTATTTTAGGGGGATTTATTCCGGGGGGATTTTTTCTAAGAACCTAACTTTTTAGTTCAAAAAATTTAAATTAATGCAGAAAATATAATACGCCTCAATTAAAAAGTGTGTTTGTTTGTTTACCTATACTTATTTTGAAGCATTACTATACAATTTATTTGCGGTTGCGGAAGTTTGCTAACGTTGTTCGCTATTTTAAAATCTAACGTTGTTTAAGTATAACTATAAATTTGTATTCGTTAACTCTGATTTACTAATTTTATGGAAAGTTTATTTAGAACAACAATTCTCTAATATATTCATTACAAAACCGCTCAAACATTTTTTTTTTATTATTTTTTTTTTTTACAAAATTATAAACATTTACAATTTTTTATAAGTTTTATATATATGTATACTTATATATAAGCAGGGCCGTACCGAACAAAGAAGACTTTTTTTAGAAGCCAAATATCAGTTCTAACCGACAGAGTCCCAAATCTTCCAATTTTACGACAAAAACCGACAGAATTTTGTAAATCTGGGGGAGGGGTGTGTCAACCCCCCATACACCCCCGTCGGTACGACCCTGTATATAAGTAATATAGTTTTAAATAATATATTATTAACAATATCCGTTATATAATCTAAATCACACATATAATCACATAAAAAAAAACATAGTTTAGTAATGATAACAAATTGTATATTACAATAAGTAAAAGTCCTAACACACCTAGGTTTTTGTTTTTTATTTTATATATTTACACTTTTTCTTTTATATATGTTTATTTTTATCGCTCAAACATACAAAAAAATAGCAACAGCTATGAATGGAAAATTATCAAAACTGTAAACCACATGATATCATGGAATAATCTAGAGTTTACAATGCATTGCGATAGAATTATTATAATTGGTTAAAATTCAAAATGAGGCAAGATCGTGAGTTTTATATGTATGGCCCATATGATAGCCACATCAAATTTAGCACGTATTTATTATTTATAAGGATTATGCCACATTAAGTGAAATAGTTATGTGAAACGCATTATGTGTTCCACATGTGGGCCACACTTATCTTCATCAAATACGTCATTCATCAACTATAATATATTTTTGCACTTTTAATCCACACGAAAGCACTATGACTACATGTGGGCCACATCTTTCTTGTCGGGTTGACATCAGTTAAACCAAACTGTTTGATTGCTTGTCCTTTAACATCAGTTAAACCAAGCTGCTTGGTTGTTTGTCCTTTAACATCAGTTAAGCCAAACTGCTTGATTGTAGGCAAGTTATAAAGTATGTCTTATTCAAAGAAATCAGAATTTTTGTCAGATTAAAAAAAAATAACGAAACTAATTTTTATTTGGACCAGCAATAATAAAGGATAAGACTAGGTCATAGGAGTCGCTACTTTGCTAGAATATGACTATGACGCAATTTAATGAAAAAGATGACCAAATTGAATTTGGTACTGACTTTGAAATAAATTTGCATAGTGTTTGACACATCTGCCAACAATAGTGTTAGACATAAAGGAGCTTCTAAGTTGATGGAAAAATGTTGAATATCGATATTTTTCCGCCAACTAAATATCAATAAATTTCAATAAAATATTACTTTACCTATCTTATTCCTAGTCTACCTATCTTATTGTCATCACATTTTAGAACTTGTTGTTGATGCTGTAGAAATTTTTGCTTGGTTCATTTTAGGTATTAATAACAAACTGTTTGAAAACTACTGAGCATGAAGCTGTCACAGAACTTACAAAATTTTTAACTTGAAATGATTTAACAACTTTTTCAAGAGAAGTTTTTCTTGAACCACTTTACTTTTATAGTTGCAGAAAATTTTATTCATATAGTTAAAGTTCCAAACGATGCAACAGGGCTTTTTGTTGAGATAATACAAATTTTTCTACAATCACCACAGTTGATACTGAGGGCTTGTTTGTTACAAATGGTGAAGCAAGATCGAAAGTTATACTTTAGCTTCGAAAAGAAGACACTGAATCTGTGAAGCTGTTGTACTAAATGCTATATTGCTGTGTGTAGACACAGTAATATATTGCTGTGTGTAGACACAGTAATATTACTGTGTGTAGACACAGTAATATTGCTGTGTGTAGACACAGTAATATTGCTGTGTGTAGACACAGTAATATATTGCTGTGTGTAGACACAGTAATATATTGCTGTGTGTAGACACAGTAATATATTGCTGTGTGTAGACACAGTAATATTGCTGTGTGTAGACACAGTAATATATTGCTGTGTGTAGACACAGTAATATATTGCTGTGTGTAGACAGTAATATTGCTGTGTGTAGACACAGTAATATAGAGATATTTTGTTGAGAGACACGACATAAACACAGAGAGTTTAGTTTGTTCTGACCTTTTCAAGCTCTTTATGAAGATTTTTATTTTTCATTACATTAAATCACAAATTTACTTAAGTATTAGTTTTTTAAAAAACTTTTTTAAGATTTTGTTGATTATGTTAAAAATCAGTAAATAAAAACGTTCCAAACATTAATATAAAAGTATATAAATAAAATTGTTTATATTTATATAAATATATATTAATATGAATATTTAGTTATGTTTTTTAATTTTTGTTTGTTTTTTAATTTTTTTGTTAAGTTTTAAGTAATTAAATTTGTCATAGATAAATAATTAATAAATAAATAATTTGTAAAGATAAGTAATAGTATTTGCTTTGTTATGGTTAAATGGGCACAACATTTTACTGAGCACATGCTAATAAATGATTAAATATGATAGAATTTAGTATAATAAAAAAAAGATATTAGCAAATACTTTGTAAAAATCAACATTTCTTGAATTATATTAATTCGGTTGTTTGAAAAGTTTAATAATAACTTTAAAAGGGATTCATTTGTTGCAAGTTGAAAAAGACTTCTTGTTTTCTATGGTGCAAAAACTGATGAATATCTTATAGTGAAAGCACTTTTGATTTTAAAACATCATTATTATCTCAAAGTAAGATAAAAGACCGTAAAATTAAACAATTAAAATAGCAAAAGCCATACTACTTGCTTTGGCGGATAATTGTCTTCAGGGGGTAGTCAAAACTCAAAAATCACCAATTCGTGATTGTTTAGAATCAAAAACAAGAAAATATTACTTTATTATGTTTTTATGTTTAACATTTCTTAGGTGATTTAATTGTTTTTTAATGTATCTCCTTAGTGAAAAAGAAAACTCAATCTCATTAGTAAATCCACAAGTAGACAGTGACAAACCTTTAAAAAAAAAGAGGGGAAGGGGGGAGGGCAAAAATTTTCGTTAATATTATTTGTGTTTTACTTACAAGATCATGTTTGCATTTACCTTTTGGTTATATTCTAAGTATTTCATATTTAAAAAATCTCAAACCTAAGGTAACGCCTGCGGATGACAACCAATAAACTTAAAAAAATTAAAAACTTTAAATTAATAATTTTTTTGAAATGAAAGTGAAAGAGTAAAATAAAAGACATAGATATTTACTTCTTCTTTAAACACTTATATACCATAAATTGAAAATACTATTTATTTTCAAATATTATTCATTTATTTAAATTGTCTAGACAACCCAGATGTTTTAATCCATTCCTGGATGGTTTTCTTTGCCGCTATAATTTTTTTTGATTTAGGCTTTTATTCTAACGGAAACTTAAGTTCTCGGTTGTTTATTAATTTTAAGGGTGGGTTCTAGTGCATATACACTAGAGCCCACATACGTTCACGAAGCAAAGTTTTAATCTTTATTTTATTATAGAATTTTTTTAATATTATATTATCTTATTTTAATATTTGCTAGTTAGTTCCATTTATTTTCAAATCTATTTACAAATTTTAGTTTTTATTTATTTATAATTTTTTTTGTTTTGTTTTTGTTTTTCAACTTAGACATAATAACATAAATTATAAATACTTATATAAAATATAAATAATATTTTGGGTGCCAGGAACCCGTAAACTATTTATACCTTATGTAAATTTATTACTTAAAGTTTTAGTGACCGGATTGTATGGCCCTCACACCTCCTCCCACCTTCTCTTCAATCTATTCCGATAGTGTAAACCAATTTTTTTTTTTGTTTTTTTGATTCAGACAATCTCTTTTTTTTTTTAGATGAATTCCTTTAATTGTCGCTGTTAAGGTAATTTATTGATTTTTTTTTTTAGATTTTTTGCATACTTTTTTAAAATATGTTTTTATAGAGTTCTGCGTGTTCCATAAAAAATTGTATCGTCTTCATAATGCATTTTTTATAACTCCATAAAATTTTTATCTCCATCAATCATTAAATTTATATTTGAATATATATATATATATATATATATATATATATATATATATATATATATATATATATATATATATATATATATATATATATATATATATATATATATATATATATATATATATATATATATATATATATAACTGAGATATGCATTCTTTTTAACGAAGTAATAAAATAAAATATGAAAAACAACTTATGCACATAGCTTAATTCTATTATGATTAAAAGATAGTAATCGTAAGATAGTAAACAGTAAATTTTTAATTAAATAAAAAAAGAATCATAATTACCGCAAAGCTCGCCGAAAGAGCCGAGCGGGTTATATCTGGGATGTCAAACGGGAACCGTACGGGATTTGTCCGTGGGATTTACATGGGCTATACAAGATGAATATAAAAAGCGAAATAATTTTCAGCTTGGTATTTTTTGTGCTTGTTTTGTCTCAAGATTTTTTTCAGATCTGTTTTGAATATAATTTTTTTTAAGTTGATTTTTTAAAATTTAGATTATTTTTCGATTTTGCTTTGATATTTCTTTCAATCAGTTTATTTTTATTTTTGAGGTTGTGTTCCATAGAGCGGAATAGATAAAAATCAGATGATGCTATATCTGTCTAAAACCTCCCAGTTTAGCTGCTTTATTTTTTCTTTAGTTAATCATGCTGGATTGCGGCCGGACATTATCATTTTGCAATATTACTTCTTTTCTATTGATCTGATCTGATCGTTTTGCTAACAATTGGTTCTGAAACCTATCCCATTGTTGGCAATACGGTTCAGCCGTAACTGTTATTCACAATTTCAATTGTTATAAACGAGTTATGTCACTACAATGACATAGCGTGAAGGATGGTTTAGGAGTAGGTAAGGCTAGTTGATTTGTAGGAAACCATTGTTAAGTGCGCTTGTTGTTGTTGGATAAGTTGTTGTTTGTTGTTGTATCAGCACAAGTAACAATCTTTCGTAACATTTTGTAACTTTCTCTACACAAAAGAGATTTGCAATTTGTACTCCGTTGAACTTTATTAATCTACAACAATGATGTAACGAACCACAGCAAACTTTGACGACTTTTGCTTCAACAGCCATTTGATCTCTAACGCTGAGGCCAAAATGGTCGGAGACATTAATGAATAATTTTGTTAACGTTGCAAGATCATTTTGAATAACAACGGTTGACAATTTGGTTTTCCGTTTTCGTTGGAAGAAAGTAAAAACTTCGACTTCTGAGCTGCTTGACTCATCCGCACCTTTCTCGATGATTTCTTCTATTTTTTGATCATTTAGAGCTGTTTTTCTTCTTTTAGCTGTGCTGTAAGCATTGACTCTGTTTTCAAAGCGTTCATGAGTTGCGTCGTAACTAATCATCGAACCAATCTTAATTGGAGGTAAATAATACAGTAACGTAAAATGAAAAAAATTAACTTAAGTAAACACAGTACAGCAACGTGGTTGAAATAATGCATGAAATTGCTTGTGGATAGTTCTGCTGGTTCATCAAAAACTCCCTGTCCTCTTTCCAAGTTGCAATTCGAGATACACGTAGTATGTGTCAGCGGCTGATTCATTCACAGGGTTGATTCATTGATTCCAAAAACTGGGTTCGTTTCTTCCCGGAGCACTTCTTTTCTCTTTAACACACTTTGCTATTCATTAAAAACCGCAATGAAATACTCGACGCACTTGTTATCTGACTTAGTTTGTAAGTGAGCTTTTTTCAAAATTTCTTATAATTCAATCAAAATATTTTTAATAATAAGAATATTTTTTGTCGACTCTGTTATTTCACCACTTTCTACTTTCTGACGTTGCCAAATTACAAAACCACTTGATTATTTAATTCGGGGTAGCCTTATTTTATTTTTTTTAAGTTAAATTTTTTATAAAAAATAAATAAAACTCTACAAAAGTAGAGGTATCTACTTTAGAGAGATTTTACTTTTCTCTGGATCCAATTAAGTAATCTTAATGATGATTTCGTGTGGATTTTGCTTTTTCAACTGAACAATTTTTCTCTTTTATGCTAGGTTTCGGTAATTTACGAGAACGTAGATCCATTTTTGTGGTTACCATGATTACCACAGAAAAAAACGCAGCAGCAGTAGAAGCACGAAGTTACTTACTAATTTAACCGTTTAATAAAATCTGGCGCGAATTACTTTACTGAAAGTAAAAAAAAAGCAACTTTAAGCCTAGCAATTATAAAAACCTTAATTGCTTGTATATTAATTATATAAAACTCTAAGTCTAATCTCTTTGGAACTCTATTTTAGAAAATATTTTCAATATTTGTATATTAAACTTACTATAAACACAAAAAGCTTAAAGTAAGTATAACATTTAAAACACTAATTTATCAAAACCACTATTTAAACAAATCATATTATTGTTTATGTCCAAATCTCATTATTTAATAATACTAACATTAAAACTAAATAATAATAATGTTAATATTAGAATGTTAAAAATGTTAATATTAACCTCAATGCTCAAACAAAAAACCTAAAACAAACAACTTTAACTTACAAAATTATATATTTACCACAAAGCTAAAGATACAACACGAAAATAAATTTTTCTTCAACTGAGCATCCAGTTTAGATTATATATAATCTATTATATATAATGTTTTATGAATACATTTTTATATTGTTCCAAATTTAAGCCTTGACGGTTAATAACTACTTTCTGACGTTGCCAAATTACAAAACCACTTGATTATTTAATTGGGGAGGACCTTTAACTTATTTTTTTTAAGTCAAATTTTTTATAAAAAATAAATAAAATAGTAAATTAAACTGTGTAAAAAGTTGAAGTCGTTGCAGAATATATTTGTTAACATTTTAAACAAAAAAGACGGTAAAAAAAGGATTTGCTCAATTTTTTCTAAGTGGGGGGACCCTTAAAAATACTTGTTAAATATTATTTTTTTTCTTAGTTTAAACCTCAATTTAAAAGTTGGTGTGGTAATTCGATAATTTTGCGAGAATGGGACACTCTAAGCATACAATGACATAAAAGTTTTTTAGTTATTTGATTATACCATTTTACAATCGAGTAATTAAAAATTTCAAATTCGTTTCTCATAAGTTACAAAACCACGGATTGTAATATTGAGTAATAAAACAGGTCCACGGATTGTAATATTGAGTAATAAAACACGTCCACATTCTGAGTTAGACTAAAACAAACATTTCACGCTAAAAATAATTGATTATATATATATATATATATATATATATATATATATATATATATATATATATATATATATATATATATATATATATATATATATATATATATATATATATATATATGTATATATATATATATATATATATATATATATATATATATATATATAAATATATATATATATATATATATATATATATATATATATATATACATGTATATATGTATATATATATATATATATATATATATATATATATATATATATATATATATATATATATATATATATATATGCATATAATGTATGCATATAAATATATATATATATACATATATATATGTATATATATATATATATATATATATATATACATATATATATATATATATATATATATATATATATATATATATATATATATATATATATATATATATATATATATATATATATATATATATATATATATATATATATATATATATATATATATATATGCAATGTATACAAAAAGAAACACACACAGAAACAATGTGAGTATGTGTGACTTACTGTTTATTCACATGATATTAATTTTTAATCACATTATGTACGATACCTAAAATATTGTATATAATACATGTATGACAAAAGAATTTTTAAATTGTTTAAAAATCTTATTGTTTAAAAATTATAATTTTCTCCTTTATTGATTGTGCCTGGTGCAGAACCGATAAAAATATATTAAAATTATTATAAGTATTTAACAAATAAATATTTATCATTTCCTAATTTTTCTGTTCAAAACTAAAAAAAAGGAATTAATCACAAAATTTGTCATTTATTCCTTTTTTTTATTTTCGTTAAAACAATAAAAAGGACAAATACTTAAGATATTCAGATAACAGCTACATATATTCAGAATACAGTTTTCTAGCAAAAGTTATTTTTACGGCAACTAAATTTTCAATCTTGATTAAAAAACCAAAGATGCGAAATGAAGTACCTAGAAAAATTCTTAAAACGCTTACATAACAACGTTTAATGAACTTAAGGTGAAATTTAGGCAGAAGTTACTGATAAAAAATATATTGCAAAGATATTTCTTTGATGGCGTGAAATAAACTTTTGATTATTCAATATATATATATATATATATATATATATATATATGTGTAAAATCGTCAATAGAATTAGTGAATCAATCTATGAAAAGAAGTTCGTGTTAGGAGTCTTTGTAGACTTGTCAAAAGCGTTCGACTCAATAAATCATGAAATCCTACTAAAAAAGTTGGAAAAATACGGATTAAAAAACCATACACTGCAGTGGTTTAAAAGTTACCTGTATAACAACCAACAGTGTGTTATTACAGATGATAGTTACCACAGTAAATTATTAAAATTAACTTGTGGTGTTCCTCAAGGTTCGATTCTTGCTCCTCTTTTGTTCCTAATCTATATAAACGACCTTCCAAAAGTTTCTAGCAAACTTGAATTTATAATGTTTGCAGACGATACAAATTTATTTTACTCTTCGACAAACATCAAGGATCTGTATGATAATGTAAACATAGAACTCCAAAAATTAAATATATGATTTAAAACAAATAAGTTATCCCTAAACATAGAAAAAACAAAATACACTTTATTTCACTCAAACCAACAAAGAAACACACTACCAAATATTCTACCCTCTCTAAAAATAGAAAATATAGTAATTGAGAGAACTCACGAAACTAAATTTTAGGAGTTATAATTGATGAAAATTTATCTTGGAAAAGTCACATAAATGCTTTAAACACTAAAATATCAAAAAACATAGGTCTACTTTATAAAGCAAAACCTATGCTGTCGCAAAGTAATTTAAAACTTATATATTTCTCTTTTATACATAGCTACCTCATATATGCGAATATAGCTTGGGCGAGTACGCATATAACCAAATTGAAAACTTTATATCGACGTCAGAAACATGCTGTTAGACTAATCTACCATAAAGACAAATTTACACACACTGAACCCTTATTTAAAGAAATGAATGTGCTTAATATTTATCAAATTAATATTTACCAAAATATATTGTTCATGCTAAAATTTAAATTAGGTCAAGTACCAAACCATTTTTTAAATAACTTTTTTATAAATAACGTTAATAAATATAACACAAGAGAAAAAGGAAACTTTATTACACCTTTCAAAAAAACAAAACTTTCCCAGTTCTCAATTTCATATCGGGGTCCTTATTTATACAACAAACTAGTAACTAAAAATAAATCAATTTGCAATCTAGATTCAATTTGCAATCAAAATTTCTTGAAAAAAAAGTTAAAAAATCTGATACTTAATCTAAACAGATACTCAGAATTCTTCTAAGACTATAAATTAAAATACATATATATCAACTACAAAACGAACTGACTCGTTTATGTGTATTATCTAAATGGCTCTTACCTTTCTCAAACAATATATCAAAAATTGTTTATTACACACAAAAAAAACACTTGATTTTTTCTTATCAAGTTTAGTTATTATGCTGCTAGTTATGTCTAATATTTTATACAGAGCTTATTTTGAGTTTATTTTTTATTATGAGCTAAATTTAAAGAATATATAAACATAGTTGTACTTAATATATAGTTATATTTAACATAATCATAATAATATATCAAACACATTGTAAGGGCTTCGTGATAAGATCATTACGATCTTCTTGAAGTCCGGCCTGTACTATTTAATTATAAATTTCACTATATATTTTGACTCACGAGACTTGTAAATATTACTTTTAATTTACGAAACTGGTAAATGTTATATGTACGGCAAATACATGAATAAAAAAAAAAAAAAAAAAAAAAAATATATATATATATATATAAAAATAGTGAATATTCTTTTCTATTAGTAATGGTTATATAATTAGTTATTAAAAGTTATTTTTAATAACTATTAATTTACACTTTTAATATAATAATATTAAAATCAAGCAGATGTCAAAAAACATAATAAAAATAAGTTTAAATTATAAATTAAAATTACAAAATTCTCAAAAGCTGGTATATATATATATCTCAAAAGCTACTGAATATACTGAATATATCTCAAAAGCTACCGGATATATCTCAAAGGCTACTAGAACTATCTATTGTTGGAAAGGTTATAAAATGATATAACAAGACTTTATTCATTTAGCGAAACAAAGCATTGAGAAGAAAAACTTTTTTTAACAACAAATCAGTGGTAAACAAACTTCTTTTTTATTTTGAAAGAATTCCAGCTTGTCAAAAAGAAAAAGAGCTTAAAAGTTTCTGATTTTGAATGGAAAAAGAGAAGTACATAAAATATGACTTTAACCAACTTCCTGGTGACAAATATTATACTTCAATTTTTCGTGGAGGTGTAAACAACAAGTATAAATACAAACTTGTGAAATAAATATGGCAAAAATTGCTCTTATGGCAAGTAATTTGTAGTTGAGGAAAAAAAAGTATAGCTTTTGTGACGTCATCAACCTTGACATCAGAAATTTATTTTCAAGAGTTTCTTAAACGCAAATTTCTGATATCTACAAGTATCTAAATTCGTATTGAAAAGTAACTTTTGTCATTCATTCAATTGCACGTTAAACCTTGTTTGTTTTGATCTAACTAATGAGCTTTGCTCAATTGTCTGCAATTCCATCCCATTGAAAAAAATTGGGGTTTTGGCAAAGGGCATATGCGAAAAACAGTCAATACTAGTAGTTTATAACAAGGTTAGCTGAAGGTACGGTCAATCACAAACAAGAAAATGACAATAACAGTCGCCCAAAAGTTAATGGGCACCATCACCGGTAATGTATGACTATTTGAATATATATTCACATAGTCGTAAATTACTGTCAAACATTTATTATTATATTGTAATGCAAAATTAATATTAAAATTTTTTTAACCCAAAAAGACTATCAACGCGCTGAAGGAGAAGTCAAAAGAAACCCGAGTTGCCACGTTTTGCTGCAACATTATTAAACCAACTCTGGCAGCTTTGTTATGGAGAAAATAAACTTAATAAATATATATTAGGTAGGGTTAGGATTATTAAAATTACTGGTAAAATGTAGTTTAATACAATCTGCTGTATGACCTACGTCCTAGTTAGATTTTCTTAAAATAGCACCTGTCTCTGACTTAAAGTAAAATCTGTTTTAAACCTTCTTTGGTCTGCATTGTCAAAGCCACATAAAGGGCCTTTTTACAAATAATTTTTGTCTTTAAGGTTACTTTCTATCCATCTTTTTTCCAAATCTTCATACTCTTTATAAGACTAATTTGTATTCTGCTGTTTTATTTGGGATCTCTTGTTGTTGATGGCTGATATACTTTGATTTTCAAAAATTCCAATAGTCACACGCTTGGCCTAACCTAAAAATCATTATTAATTTTCCTATTTATCGTAAAATTAGGTGACTTTAATTCTCATTAAAGTCACCTGGTTTCACGACAATACTTCTTAATAACAAAACAAGTTTTCTCAATAACAATAACTAATGTAATTTACATCTTAAAAACTTGAATTTTTAGTATTGAATCTAGTATAATCATAATAAACAGCAAACTTATATTTTCTTACGACATGACGCTATCTAGATATAAGCATTCCCTTACTTTTTTAAGCACGTTACTTCGCTCCGGTGAAGCTTTAAAAAATGGTATTACTTTATTGTGTTATTATAAATGATATTCTTTCATTTCGGGTGTAAAGTGAAGCGAATTGTATTTCTTACAGCTCATACAGACAAGCATTTATAAATTGAGTTTAAAGATTGAACATGGACTTTTTATTGCGTTTGTTAGGATCTTCTGTAATTTCGTGACTGCTCCGTTGTTTTTATCTAAGATAACGCTGCAACCATCTGTTCCTATACCAACACAATCCTTTAAATTTAAGCCAAATTTTGTTAATGTATTCGCAACTGTGTTTCCTAGCGATTCTCAAGTTAATAGAGGTTTTGAATACTTTTAATTATGTACGTTGCTTTGAATAACAGTTGTTTAAGTGATCTTTTAAAATACTATTCCTAACGCTCACTCGAAGTTGAAGTAACTCACGAAAATTGCCATCATTAATTACTGAAGACTTTTTATTTATTTCAACAATCAGCCCATCATGATGTGCTGATTGTTAAAATAATTCGCGATGATGCGTCATCGCGATGATGCGTCATCGCAATGACTTTGCAGAGCAACGTTCTGATGACCAAGAAATATTATAGATTCATTCGTAGGCTTTAATTTGTCTTAATTTTTTTTAGCCTGTTAATACTTTTCTTTATTAACTAAATTACGTACATCTCTAGACGGACATTCATAAGTTCTGATATAATCTGATGTTGCCATCTTTATGATAGCTTTCATTTGTTGGGTAATGAATTCTCTTTTTTAATTTCACAGACGTTATTATTTAACTTGTAAAATTCACAGCTTCCATACCAAATTTGGATCAGAAGAGAAAAAGACTTCATTGTAATTTGATACTTTTCAGTCTTACCAATAAACGAACAATTACATTTATTGAATGACGACGCTGAAGTCAAATAGAAAGTGATAGGACCAGCATGGTTCTGTATTGGTAAAATTTTAATTCTTTTGACAAAATAGTCATCTAAAGTGCTAGTCCCCCTTGTGGTCAATGAAGATAATAGACTAAAATATAATTAAAGATAATAAAAAACTTTTTTTTTCTACATAGGAAACTAATACATTCGAAAATAACTTTCTTTAAAAAAAATATTTTTCAAATCTTACATAAAAAAACGTGTGACAACTTTAATTGTAAAAAAGTAAATACTTTTTTTTTTAATATTTTAACCTCCAAAAACGGCCTCGCTTAAATAAATTATGGCTGCAAATTAAATAAATTATGGATACAGATTAAATAAATTATGGCTACAAATTATATAAATTGAAATTAACATTAAAACGAAATCTTTTTTTGAAATTTTTTTTTTGAAAGTTTTTAAAAACAATTTTTAACTGTTTGAAAGTTTTTAAAAACAGAACATAGAAGTTTTTTTTTTTTTTTTTTTGTTATTTAATTATATAATAGAATGCATTAACTTTGATAAATGTCATTATATAATAGAATGCATTAACGTTAAATGTCATCAAAACATTGATGAAAAATATGTTTAGAGGTCGTCCATAAATCACTTCACGCTCAAGGGGGAAGGGGTAGTGGTTTTGTAACGACTCATACGGGACTTGTTATTAAAGTGTTAAAATGTTGTCAAAAACGGTCAAAAATAGCGTGATTTAATTTATGGACGACCCCTTATAAACTTTCTTCTATTTTCTTGAATAACATTAAAAGTTAAAAAGCAACTATGGCTTTCTTAAAAAAAGCAATTATCAAGTTCGTAACATTTTTTTTTAATTCTATAAAAAAGTTTGCTGATTCTTTATATGTGTGTGTGTATGTGTGTGTGTGTGTGTGTGTGTGTGTGTGTGTGTGTGTGTGTGTGTGTGTGTGTGTGTGTGTGTGTGTGTGTGTATTACATTAATTTTACTCTTATTATTTTTTTTTAGTTTTTCAAAAATGAATAATCTTACAGATAGTAATCACTTTCATCTTGAAGACAGTTTTATAAACGTTTGTTTACTTTTTTATGGAATCATATTAGTTGTAGGAATCATTGGAAATGCCCTTACATTTGCCGTGGTAGTACTAAACAAATCTATGCGACGTTCTATTCATTTTTATACCATTAATCTATCTTTAGCTGATGGGTTACTTTTGTTAATATATGTTCCAACACAAACAAAAATGACTTACGATGACCTTTATTGGCATATGGGTAAAACTATGTGCTCTTTTTGTAATTTTACTATATCTTTATGCTTGTCGGCTTCCGTTGGAACTCTCATAGCAATAAGTGCAGATAGAATGCGCGCGGTAACCAATCCGTTTTCTTGGAAAGCTCATTCGCAACATTTATCAAAAATTATCATTCCAATAATATGGATTGCATCTGCAGCCATTGCTTTTCCAGTTGCATATGTTGCAAATTTGAAGCCGGAAGATAACTCTACGATGTTGTTTAACTGTGTTGAAGAGTGGCCTGTTTCAGCTGGTAAGCTTGGTAAGTTATACTTGACTTCTTATGTGTTTATCTACTATGTTAATAATAATTACTACTGTTATTTTATATAACGGGTGGTTGGATGGTTTTGTGACAACAGCAAAACGTTTGATTCTACGTCACTTTCATTTTTATTTTCTTTACTTTTATTACCAAAAATACGATAACAAAAGCGTGTCATTGTTTTTTTGTTATTGTTAACTTTAAAAATCAACATTCTTTGAATAAACATTCTTCAGCAAAAAAAATTTAAGTTTGGACTATTTCTAAATTTTCTAGACAACATATATTAAGCATGTTGTCACATGGTAGACCACTTTTAAAATGTTTTATTTTCAATTAGTTAGTTAATTTTGAAATCAACCTAAAAATATTTCAAGACATCAGCTTCTATCATTTATCCAAAAGGAGAGTAGCTGTGTTGTCAAACACTACCTTTCTTTTCTACATAAGCTCATCATTGAAATTTGTAATAAATTTATGATGGTATTTATTAAAACCGTGCCACAATGCTTAAAAGAGTTACATCTTAAACATCAAAAAGTTCCATTTACGCACTGTGCCTCAAAAAGAAAGAAAAGCGAAAACAAAAAACAACATATTTTACATGCTATTAGAGAATCTATAAGTCAATCAATTCATTTTTTTAGGTTAAAAACTACATGTGACCATTCTAACGACTTGCGATCATTCTAACGACATTTTACTAACGACATGTTAATAGCTGAATATATCATATAAGAGAATGTAAATTTTTTGTTTTTACTTTCAAATGGTTAATATTTAGTGAAAAATTTTATCGTAATTCAAGATTTGGAAAAAATATATATCTTGTTATTGCAGAGCGGATAGGGAGGGGGGAGGGGGGTGGTTGGTTGCAGGAAATCAGGGAAATGACTAAAACAACGTTACAAATTAAAGCGAAAAAAGCTGTTACTAAAAAATTAATTTAATTTTTATTTTTAAATAAACTCATTATTTTACTTAGATTTGATCTATTCTGATTAGCAGGGGGTGGAACTTTATCACATTTTGTGATAAAGTTCCACCCCCTGCTGATTTTGCTTGAGTATCTCTTTATTTTGAGTTTCTTGAGGATCTTCGAGGATTCCCAAGAATCTCAATCTTTACTCTGATCAGAGTAAGCCTAAATAGGTTTATCATGTCTCATGGCAGAAAAAAAAAAGAAAATACATAGTTTTAAATCATATGCAGAACTATGAGCCAAGAGCACAAATCTTAATCATGTAAAACATTTTAACTGTATTCCAATAAATTCTGACAATAATTTAGCATTCTTAAATGCTTTTCAAGCAGTCCCAGCATCCCAGAGAGTTCCCATCATTTGTAATTCCATTTATAAGCTTTGAAACATCCACAATTAGATTTATTTTATTCAAGAAACCTTGCGGGATGAATTCTTTATAACTTGAACGAATAGCTTCTTCTCGGCTGATCTGGCTTCGTGCAATTTTTTTTTAGTTTTTAAATCTAATATTTTAGAATATACTCGAAGGACCTAATCTAGCTGTGTAATGTTTATAATCCATATTCTAGAGCTTGTTGGTTTATTAGTTTTTTTCATATGGATGTCACGTTGTTCATTTCTAATGGTTTAGCTTTACATATGTTATAGGACTCAGTCAGTGCATTGATCACACTATTAAATAAAGTAAAATCAATTTTAAAATGAATTCTGAGAACTTTTGGATCTCTCCTCTATGACTTTCCAGCACTTCGGAAATCTCTCCAAACCTGATTACATGTGTGGTAGCAATCTTTTCACAATAATTTCCTCATCAAGCCATTTAACTTCTTTTTCTAGAAACCTTGTATAAAGTCTATGATCTAAAATATTGAAGATTTTCTTTTTTTCCTTCTCAGAAGATTTCTGAAACTTTCTTCAAAATTATCTAAACTAATATTGGATCTGTTGAAGCCCTTTTATCTAATAACTTCTGTCAACAGCTCGTCCTTTAAACTTTTCAAAGAATGTGGTGATACTTTTATAGTGCCCTTAAAAAATACTTTTATAGTGCCCTTATAAAAATATCAAAATACTATTTACAGTTCAAATATAATAAAAAGATAAAAGCCTTCATAAATATTTCTATAAAATCAAGAAATTAAATGATATCAACAGAGCCCTCTCCCCCCCCCCCCCCATCGGGAAAAAAAAAAAAAAAAAAGCTGTTATAAATGCATTTGAGTTAGCATATTTAGCATTTAAGTTGGCAAATATAAAGGAACTTTTTTTTTTGTTGGTGTCTCTAGTTGGCAAAAAAACATATACGACACCTCCCATGAGTGACCTCTTCCGGACGGCCCTGAATATCAATATAATTTTAGCAGTAGTTATTTAAATATGCTGACAAATTCTTTTAAATATAAAAAATAAGAAACAGTCAAACAAGTAAAACACTAAGAATAATAAAATTCAATGTTCATTTAAAAAAAATTCAACAATTATTTATCTATTTCATTTTTTTATTAGAAACTTAAAGGAGTTTAACAATTTTGATTTTTAAAAAGTGTTCCATAGTTTTGGTCAACGGTACGCTTTTCGATATTCAGAATACTTGCTACTAATTCTTGACAATTTATAAGTATTCCATTAGTTTAATGCAAGAGAATATTTTTTGTTCTCATTTTTGTTAAATTTATTATTAAATTATTTTGGAATTAAGCTGTTATCATATTTATACATAAAAATTAAGTGCTGGTAAATATTGATCTCATATGTATTCATCATTTGCATGTACTTCATTAATGGTGTTGCATGTTCATATATTTTTTTCTTCTACATAAATCTGCATGCATGATTTTGTAGAGAAAATATTTTTTTACGTTTTGTTGGTTGGAATAGTAAATGAATCAATGTCTAAAGGCAAAATAAACACGTCTCATACTTTCTGATGTTACATTTAGACAATATCGATACTTCAAACCGAATTCTTACATAAGGTAAGTTAGTAAATTCAGTTATGAATTATTAACATGTTTTGAGGGGGTCTTTACTGGTATTATGACGTTTCGAATGTTTAATTCACTAACTTTTAAAAACTCCCATCGGAGTCTTATCATCGAAATCGGTATAAAAAACCCATTCTGACGCCAAGCCTCGCTCATGTTGCAACACTAAAAGGACACACTACACGGAGACAATTAACCTGTCATAAACCTATTAAGTAAACACTAATATATTTTTTAGAAATAATTACGAAAAAATTCAGCGCAATAGAAGAGCATAACGTATATAATATATATATATTATATATATATATATATATACATATATGTCAGAAAGTAAGGAGATGCAATTTTTACACTTATGATTTTACTCTGCTCAAGTGATAGTTATGGTTGGTATTTGACAGAAGATAGTTATGGTTGGTATTTGACAGAAGATAGTTATGGTTGGTATTTGACAGAAGATAGTTATGGTTGGTATTTGACAGAAGATAGTTATGGTTGGTATTTGACAGAAGATAGTTATGGTTGGTATTTGACAGAAGATAGTTATGGTTGGTATTTGACAGAAGATAGTTATGGTTGGTATTTGACAGAAGATAGTTATGGTTGGTATTTGACAGAAGATAGTTATGGTTGGTATTTGACAGAAGATAGTTATGGTTGGTATTTGACAGAAGATAGTTATGGTAGGTATTTGACAGAAGGGGATTATTTTTGAGAAAAGTTGATGTAAATATATCAGATAATACTTTTTACAACAAGTTATTCCTAAATTTATGCATAAATATTAATATTTAAAGCGAATTAAGTTTTGATATATCTAGAACATTCATGTATTTTATTACAGGAAAAGGGTTTTCTAATCTCTTTAAATAGTTAATTACTTTACATACGTGGTTTTGTAAGCTCTCTTATCTTATTAATTTAGTTTTGCGTCTGTTATCCCAAATAATATTAGTGTAGGAGAGATAACAATAAAAACATTTTGCTCAATTTATAATCAAGAAAGTTCCTAGATTGATATATTATACTAATAACAGAAGATACTTTTATTTCAATGAAACTTATATGGTTTCTTTATGATAGGTTCTCATCAAATATTACTCCCAAAAACTTTGCATAATTTACTCGATTTATTTCATTTTTATTGATTGACAGTTTTGGCAACTTTAATGGAAGTTTAATCAATTGTCTTAGTAAAAAGTGGTTATAGAATAAATTTTTACCGTCTGCTACATAGTTGCCGATATTTTACAAGAAGCTTACTTATTCATATCTTTAATATATTTTTAAAATAATAAAGGTCCCGAAATTGATCCCTGTGCTACTCCGCATACAATATCTAGAGCTACTAACTCCGTTAGGACAACATACTGTTTTCTATTAAAAAGATAATTATAACTCACTTAGGCTTTTAATGGCGTAACTTATATTAGACCTTTAATGCCGTAATGCTTTAACTTTTTATGTAATATTTTGTGATCAACAGTACTGAATGCCTTATAGAGATCGATAAATACTCTTAATACTTGTTTACCTTTATCAAAGGACGTAGATTTTTTACCGGCAAGTTCAATATTAGCAAGTTTAGTAGAACAGTATTTCTAAAATCCAAGTTAGTTTTTATATAAAAGCGTTTTTAATTAATGTCATGTGATCACAAATTTTATTTAAAAATTACCCTTTTAAATATTTTTGAAAATACAGGGAGTAGGGCATTTGCAAACAGAAGGAAAATCGTTATTTTTGAAAACTGGATGAATTTTGGCTGGTTTTAATTTATCAAGAAATATATTATTTTCAAATGAAAATTATATTAAATAAAATAATGGTTTATATATACTTTTCATAATGTGCTGTTTGTATTATAATACGTATGTATAAAATATTTATATTATAAACAACGATTACTTTGATATATCGTTTGTTTTATGGGCTGTAAAAAAATCCAGGGGATCTTTTTCGGGGAAATTTTTTCTCAGGGGGATTTTTTCTTGAGGATATCTTCCGGGGGGATTATTTCCTGC